CCTACGCGAAGGGTCAAGCCAAGACCCTGGCAGCTTAGAAAAGGCAATAATTAATGCTCAACAAGAAATAACACAAGTATCTCCAAATAAATACAAATTAGGAGCTACCACTTGATGAACTATAAAATAGACTTGGAAACGATGCCTTTAAAAAATTGATATAGAAGTGGAAGATGTGTGTTAAACCTATGTAAAAAATGTATGTGTTTAAAAGAATAATGCTTACACCAGGATATGGGAGACTTTTTTGGTTGCAAGGGGCTTTCCCTGTTTTTATAACGGGATTATGTTTCTTTTTAAATTTCACTGGAAGACGGAGGAAGTCATTTAAATAGTCTTAAAGAAAAAAATAAAATTTTGCTCTCAGGGCGATTTGAAGGAGGCAGGAGTGGTGAGGAATCTGGGTGGCACCTTCAAGGCCAGCAGGCCTTCTGGTGCGGCTGGAACCAGGGCCCGGGGGTGGGGGAAGAGAAGGGCAGGGAGCCCGAGAGCCTAGGGTCTTGAATGCTTTGCTGTGAACTCTGGACCTGACCCTGTGGGCAAAAAGAAGGCGCCACGGTGTTTGAGGAGGAATAGCTTGGGGGCAGGATGAAGGCCGGCTAGAGTGTGAATGGGCAGAAGTGAGGGGCCTGCCTTGAGGGAGGAACAGCCAGACCTCAGCTTCTTGGAAAAAGACACTGAACAGATACAGTGTTGTCTGACCACTGGGTTGGGCCGTGGGAAGGCATCAGAAACAGTCTACGCTGACCCATCCGAAACTGCCCAACTGCAAACAGAATACACATGGTTCCAGGGAAATTCTGACATCTGCGGCAAAACAAAGAAAAACCGGGCTTTTCAACTTGTAGAAATTCCACTGACTTAGTAAAGAAATGAGTTAGAGGAGAAACAGAAACAGCCTTAACGTGAGAAGTGTGCTCCGAATAGTTGAGAGTGAATGCATTCTGGTCAGAAGTACCTCATTTCACTGCCCCTAAAAATGCTTCCCCTTCTCCATTTCTCTTTCTCTGGGCTCCTGCTGGGCTCTCTGACCAGGCTTCCCCGTCTCTCTGCACACCACACCTGCCAGAACACGACTAAATCTAGTCAGGCAGCTGCACCCGAACATGACTGCACCCTACAAGCACAACACTCTACTGTGGTCTCCAAACTTTTTAGGTGCACCCATCAGTGGAAAACAATCTAAGTGTACCTGAAATACACATGCATATTATACAATGATTATATATGATTACTATCAGCCCATATATTAAGCACTAGTAAATTTGCACCTCAGACCACTAGAATAACCACATTTTCTCCAAAGGGCGAGGGAATGAAAGATTTTGTGGGAAAGACAGGGCTGGGCTGGACCCACATTCTCTGAGGGCAGGGGGGGGGAGCAGGGTGCAGGACTCATTGTTTTCTGCTGCAAATTCTCTAGCTGACACATCTCAACACAATAAAAGATCTTAAGCTGCTTCATTTCCCTAGTTCCTCCATTCAAGACAGCCTCACTCACGAGGAATTTTCCCACCAACCTGTTACTTGATGGATTTAGCGGCCAGTGAGGATCCCCGCCTCGCTCCATTATCTTATTAGCATCTACACAGTGCTGATTTTCTAATTCTTGGGTCCTTTTGCATTTATTATCTGTGATTTCTCCATGATTAACAACTTTCTCTCATCAACTATTTGATTGTCGTCAGATACAATTTGTCTTAGAAAATCAGGATCAAATCTGGATTCGTTCCCTTTATTGTTCAGGGTAATGAAGAGGTGTCCTAGCAACTTGCAAAGGTGACTGATTGATTTTGTGGGCTTTTCTCCTTTGAAGGCATCATGGATCCTGGACTCGTGGATTATTTGTCACTGGTCTGATTTCAATCCACTGCAGTCATTCATTTTGATGTTCTAAGTATGCCATCCTGGCTCCTGTGTCCTTCTGACTCCACCCACTGGTCTGCCCCAGCCTCCGAGATGTCCCATCCTGCATGCTTCCTGCCCGAGACCTGGAACCAGCTACTTATCTAAGCAGGAGGCTCCTCTTAGTGGGAGAGGTATTTAGGGAACCTCAGTCTGAGTGCTAAGAATACAACTTGATAGTGAGCCATCTTTAATTCTGATTCTTTTCAAAGTACAGAGCTGGGACACATTATCTATTTAAAGATAAAAAAGTAGGTTCATATTGATATTTCCTATTCAAGTTGAATATTATACACTCTTTACTTAAATTCTTCAAGTACTCCCCCCTTTCTTATATTCTGAAAATATTTATTCCTACAGTATACCTGCAATATTTTCAAATAACAGTATAAATGTTTCCCACTATAAATGTACCCTCAAAGACTGAGTTTTGAAGTCACTTGAAGAGATTATTTTCTCTGTATGAGAGATTAACACCAACTTGCTACATCACTAGGTTTTATTTTTTTTTAATCTGTTTCAGTAATTAGTGAATACTTTTCTCTTTTTGATATTTCTAAGTTAAACATTTAATGGTTCCAAAGTCAAAATAACATGCATTAAAAGACATCTACTTTCTATCCCTGACTCTGCACACCCCTCCCTCCAGTGATAATCATTTTTATTAGCTTATTCTTCCATTATTTCTTTTGAAAATACAAGCAAATTCATATACGCTAATGTATTCACACATTCCTCCTCCATACCCTTCTTATACACAAGGGAGCAAAACCAAACACTGCCCTGCACTTTGGTTTTGATCACTTAATAGATCCTAGATATCTCCATTCAGAGCAGTGGAGGCCCTGGCCATTGATATTCACTCAGTCCCCTGTTAGGAACATTCGGGTTATTTCTAGTCTTGGTGTATTACAAATAGTACTACAAATAAATGGCCTTTGCATGTGCCTTTTGAATTTTTGCTCTCATATCTTTGGGATAGATCCCTAGACATGATCTATTTAGTCCAAGGAAAAATGCATCAGTAGTTTTGCAAGACGGTGACACATACCCTCCAAGCCCACCCCCCAACTAGGGTGGGCACAGACTGCTTTCCCTGAGCCTTCCACTGGAACAGATGGGCCAGCAAACTTTCGGACATTGGCCAATCCGATATGTGGGATGTGGTATCTTGATGCAGTTTAAAAACACATTTTTCTTCACTGTGGGTGAGGTTAGCATGTTTTCATATGCTTGAGGTAACCCATTTTCCTCTGAACTGGTAATAGCTTTTGCCCATTTTCATACTGGATTGTAGAATGTTTTACTCAGTTTTTAGAAGTTCTTTATATATTAGGGATACTAACCCTCTGCTAAAGAATTGGCTTATGGCTTACAAGTTGTTTCTGGCTTACAAGTTCTCTTTTTTTAAAGGGACAAATGTATCCGTTTCCCCCTTGATTCCTGCTGAATATATAGTTAGGACACAAACACTTCCCAGGGTAACAGGAATTAATCTATGTTCATCTCGTTACATTATAAGTAATGAACTTCTTTCAGTTCACTCAAACAATACTGCGGAAATCCTCTATCTCTGTACAACAAAAGAGCTTTTCCAGGACTCTGAATTCCAACATTCTAAAAGAGAATTTATAACACTTTCTGAGAAAGCTTATTTCCACCCCCCGGATACAGAAAAGTTCCATCCCATGGAGAACATACACATATCAGTTCTGGCTGTTTTAGACACAGCGACCATGTTTCCATTTGGCGTTAACACACAGGTTACTTCTCAGGTTATTTTGTATGACCTCACCCCAGCCCCTCAAAGTTACACATGCTTTACCATGCTGACCCGCCACCTGTCCACCTAACATGCCCTATGTTAGTGTGTCCCTTAAACTGTGCCCCAGGGACAGGATGATAGCTCCAGGAACAATCATAATCATGTTTACCATGCACATAACATGCTCTCATAAATCTCTGAGCTGAAAAGAACATTTAAACATGAGCTGATTATAAAATTAGCCCTTCTTAATTCTCCCTTCTCATATCTCTCACCCAGAGATTAGTCTCATGTGTCTGTTGTTACACTTAGACAACCTGAGAAAAGAGTCGTCTTCAGGTAGCTGCATATAAGGGGTGAGGCAACCACGTGGAAAGAGGCAGGGCAGGGGTCCCGTGGGTTGTAATACAAAGGAAACAGATTCACATCTCAGATATCCATTCTCGGATGGAAACCTCTGGATTGAGATTATCTGACCATTTTGGAAAATGGGAATTCTCCACTCTTGAGCATCCAAATGAACGGTTTTACTCATGTGACCTGAACAGCATCTCATCACCAAGATCTGCTGGCTTAGACAAGAAACTTTCTAGTGGCATGAATACTACCAGATCTGGCTTCACAGCATTCAGCTAATTTTAATGAAATGAGGCTAGAGCCAGGTAAACTAGGAGTAGCGGTAAGAAATGATGAAAGCTGGGGGAAAAACACTACAGAAACAGAGACGTGCTAGGGCCAGTTAGCTCATGATCTTTCCGTGTGCCCAGTACATCCCCTCCTAAAATAATCACTGCTCTTGGCAACAATGACACCGCAGAGACAAGAGGTGAGATTTCATTCTGGGTCCTGTGTTGAAGAAGTCGGTAAAGTATAAAAGAGTTTTTAAAAGTTCCATTTAAAAAAGGCTAACTTTTTTCTTTGCAAAATCTGATGCTTAAGCAACTAAGGTTTAGTTATTTGGAAAATGTAAGGACAGAGAAGACCTCATTCCTTGTCACTAATCAAGTGGAACCTAAACAGTACCTGTGTGGCATGAAACGGGTTTAGTGCCAGCCAATCCAAGTCGACCCAAAGCCCTTTCCTGACCATTTCTCATGAGACTTCCTGTGGAAACATTTTCCTCCAGAACATTTCTAAGGCTTTTCACAAAATGTGCACATGGCCTTTTGGTTGTAATTAAGAAAAAATTCCATTTTTCCCAAGGCCAAAGTTCAAGAGCACGTATTACAACAGCTCAGGGCCCTGGGAATTATAAACCCAAATACATGGCTGCCTACTTCCCCATGTCTGTGGTGGCATTCTGGAGGGCAGAGGAAGCGTGAATACTCACGGAACATGGTGTAAAACTGCTGCGGGTTCAGGTTCCACTTTCCCCAGGGGGTCTTGTGGCCTTTCGACTGGGCGTAGCTAGCGTGGTTAAACTCTGGCTCGGTGCCGAACGAGTCCAGGACGCGGAGCATGCATCTGAAAGGAAAAAGTGCCGTGGGTAAAACTGCAACCTTGACCCAAAGTTCAAGAAGTAAAAGCTCTAACCCCTGTTTCAGACACTGCCAAAAATGAACAGATATTTTTAATGAGAAATGCTACTGGATAGGCACTGAGGCTTTAGAATAGCTGTGTAACAGGCATCTATCTCCACGTGTGACTCTTGAGTCTGGACCATCGCACAGCAGATACAATGTGCTTCAGGTTAGTTGACTGATCACAGAGGATCACTCAAATACCAGTGAAATAAAAAGTTCCCAAAAGCCCCTGGCTGGGTGGCTCAATTGGTGGGAGCTTCATCCCATGTATCAAAAGGTTGCATGTTCGATCCCCAGTCGGGGTGCATATGGGAGGCAACCGATGGATGTTTGTCTCCCACATTGATGTTTCTCTTTCTCTCTCCCTCCTCCTTCCTCTCTCTAAAATCAATACACATATCCTCAGGTGAGCATAAAAGATTTTTAAAAAGGTCCCCAGAGCTAGAACTGCAGAGTGCGTGTTCACTGCTGTGCCCCAGCCAGGACTGAGCAGACACTGGTGCCTAATGACACTTGTTAAAGAAACAAAGTAGTAGCATTTTTTAGAGGTTGCTATGTATGGTCTGTGTCGCCCAAAATTCATGTGTTGAAATCCTAACCCCCAAAGGTATTAGTAGATGGGGCTATTGGGAGATCATTAGGTCATGAGGGTGGAGCCCTCATGAATGGGATTAGTGCCCTTATAAAGGAAACTCCACATCGCTCCCTGGCCCCTTCCGTTGTGTGAAAATTCCAGAAGTCTGAGACCTAGAAGACAGCCCTCACTTGACCATGCTGGCACCCTGTCTCGGGCTTCCAGTTTCCAGAACTGTGAGCAATGAATGCTTGCAGTGTATAAGCCCCCGGTCTGTGGTATTATATTACAGTAGCCTGAACAAATGAAGATGGAAGTCTTATTCTGCTGAAGGCACATGGCATGCCTTATCTCCTCCAACAACCCTTCAAAATTTTCACCAATTAATTAGAGCATGTGATTTTAGGTAATGCTTAGAATCTCTCTCAATAGGCAGTGGTGATTTTTATATGTTTGATAGTAAGAGAACACTATTGCTTTCTCCCAGAGCTTGAAGAAGTGAAACTGAAGATGTTTCATTTGGCTGTTCCATCAAAGCCTTAGAACAGGGCTGGCCAAAGCTGATGTACTGCCCATTTCTGCATAGCCTTTGAGCTAAGAATGATCTTTACATTTTTAGATAATTAAACAATGAAAATAATATTTTGTGACATGTGAAAATTATATGAAATTCAATTTTCAGCATTCAAAAATAAAGTTTTATTTAAACATAGCTATGCCCAGTTATTTACACATCATCTGTGGCTGCTTCCACACAATATATACTAGTGGAGTGAGAGAGAGAGTCCATATGGCCAGCAAAGCCGAAGATATTTACTTATATTTACTTATTTACTTATATTATTGGGCCCTCGACCGAAAAAGCCTGCTGACCACCCCCTCTTTAGACTGCACAGGGAATGACCAATCAGAAGAAAGGAATCAATACTGAAACAGAATTTATTGATTTGGGTTACATTTATTTCATTACTGATTCTCAAAACATTGATGTAAACTTTAGCTTATAAATGGCCAATAGAAACAGCAGTCTTTTCTGTTATGTATCAATACTGCTTCTGAGGAGCTCTTATTGGCCCAACAAGCATAAAAGTAAATAAAGATTAAAGCCCACATTTCAGAATCAGAGGATGGCAATGACTTCTAAGTATCTGATTCCGTTTTTCTTTCCTTTTCCACTTTTAGGAAACTCATTCTTCCAATTTTTTGTTTTGGTTTTCAATCCTCACCTGAGGATATGTTTACTGATTTTAGAGAAAGGGAGAGACGGGGGAGGGGAGAGAGGAGGAGAGGGAGAGAGGGAGAGAAAGAGGGAGGGAGGGAGGGAGAGAGAAACATTGGTTGCCTCCTGTATATGCCCTGCGTGGGGGTCGAACCCACAACCTGGTATGTGCCCTGACCAGAAATCAAACCCACGACCTTTCAGTGTACGAGACGAGACTCCAACTAACAGAGTCACACTGGCCAGGGCTCAGCTTCTTATTTTTACATCGATGTATGATTCAGGGAAAAAGTGCAAATGCCAGATGGGTTTTCCTTCCAGGAAGAGCAACAGTAAATTGCCATTTTGTTGAGATGACTTTCTCATCGGAGATCACCATCCCTTGTCTAGTCAAGGAAGAAAAGACAGGAAAGTTGGAAGGCAGGTGGAAAAAGGGTGGGCCATGGCCATGAGTGAAATACAAGCTGACACAGAAAGCATCTCCTTGTTTTGGGTTCCTGTGTGACTCTCAAGGAACATGCTGTCATCGCAGTGACAATTTTCACACTATCGACAAGAACGTGTTATCGGCCTGGCAGCCAATAGGCAGGCATAAATCGAAGTCCACGTTCCAGGAAAAAGAAAGCTAAGGATGCAAGGAACTGACTCGTGCATGCTTTTCCTGCTCTTTGAACAGCTTTCTTCTTAATAAAACATTCTTATACCTTAACTTAGTTTTCCTTTTCAAATAAAGATGCAAAAAAAACTGATGGGAGCCAGAATATTTTCTTCTGAGGAAGATGGCAGCGTTCAGGAAACAGCAGGGACGATGGTGGCAGCTCTACAGGTCGCTGCAAGAGAGGCGGGGACACACACTGCCAGGTGGGGCTGTGGAAGGTTCAGCCGCCGAGCAGAGCTGGGGTTCAGGACTACAGCACTCTGTGCAGGCCCCGCAGGGACAAACAGGCACCCTTGTCCTAAGGATCCTTTGCTTTGAAGGCTTTGGCTGCTTTACTTATTTGCAATTGACTCTAACAGTATGCATTCCTCACTAGCTTTGGCTTGCCACTCTACTTTTAACTTGGGAGTTTTACCAGTGTCATTTTCAATTTGGATAATTAAAATAAGCTCTAATGAGTACAGATGCCTGGTGGTCACCCGACTCCTGGAAGCCTGGACTGTCATAACGTGCCTAGATGTTCACTTGGTGATACTGGTCTTTTTCCCAACGGAAGCCTATGGAATGAATGATCCCATGTCTCGGATATGTGCAATTCTACATCCTCAAACTTGAAGCTTTGATTTAGGAAAGGTCTATTTTTTATTTTATTTTTTAGCTTATCTGGGTTTGTTTTATAACCAGAAGCAGGAGACTGATCTCCGTCTAGGACAGAGGAGGCGTAACATTATAGCTTTCCTCCTTCAGTCACGTTCTACATCTGTGGGTTGGAATTGTGTTTGTGTTAATACTGACGCCCTTCCTCTAATGTCTTTTGTGTATGTGGAGCATCAGAAACAGACTGATGGCTTCAAAAGATATTTGCCTTGCTGCCCGAGCAGCTGGCCGCCTCCTAACAGGGCTTCCTGCAGCTACGCCAAATGACTCCTGGAATATGCTCTCTGCTCTAAGCCACACTATTATGAGATGGATGCTCATAACCTCCTTGCCAAGACCTACTTTCTAATGTGGAGCCTGATGCAAAACATGGTATATGTTAGACTATTTGCATCTCCCTGTCTCGTGTGTTCTCTGTGCTCAGCAGAGGCCTCACATGAAGCAAAGCAGGTATGAGTTTTGCAGTGCCCAGCAGTGTACTAGTCGCATAAAGGTATTTAATAAGTGTTTATCCGAATTTCCTGGGTCCCTAAATTGGACAGAACTTACAAAGATCAACATTTTCCAACATCAATACGACACAAGGGTTTGCCCCTAAATGAAAAATCAGAAGATAACTTCACAGTTAATGGAATTCGTATCATCTACCATCAACCAAGGTGAATACAGGCAGCCCTGACAGTTCCTAATCTTCAAAAGGGAAAGAAATGGGCGAGACACTTCTCAGACGACTTGCTTGGCCTTCTGATGAAACCTGAGCCTCGTCACACCACAGGGCTGCAGGGCTGATGCAGGAACACACCTCCCGCCAGCCGGCATCACTAATGTGGGTGATTTACTGAAGAGAGGAGGGACAGACATTACACTCCACCATAAACCCCCTGCCTGGCGTCTTCTCATCCAACAAAAATCAAATACCCATTGTTAGTGACCATTTTAATAATGAAATTGTCCTTTTCAATTGACCTGAATACGACCGCTGAGAATATTTTTCCATCCAAAGAGCCCTTCTCAATGGTGAGGATGTGTGAGGCCAAGGATGCCCGCGATGCCCAGTCCTGTTGCACATTTATCAGAGGCCTGCCCTTTGCAAAATGCCAGAGCACAACAGCACTGTCTTTCTTTCATTTTTAATGCTGTAGCTAAAAAATAAATAAATAAATGTGTGTTTACTTACATGGCTCATTAACCAAAAAGAGAGATGGTTATTTCCATGTAAAATTGAGAACAAATGTGATGGCCTGGGATTCCTGAAGATTCCAAGAAATTAGCAAATTCCAAACCAGGAAAGATCTGCCACAGAAGGTAGAGTGCTATCCAGGCCCAAACCAAGTTTTTATTTTGCTATTTTATGAGACTATATCCAAAGGCAAAGAAAAGCACAGAGTCTCTTCTCAATCAAATCCTTTCCTCTGCCCATGAACACCTCACTGCCCAGTGAGAAAATTATTGCTACTGCAAGGAAATTCTACAACAGTGGGGTTTTCCCCTCTGTGATTCTGAGAAGAATCACAATGTCTTGAATTTTCATTTCTTTCAGTTCTAAAGGACTTCCAATCGGACATAACCTTGGAGATGAAAGTTAATAATATTAAACTAAAAACTAACCTGAAATGAAGAAAACTAGTTCAGGCCATTCATTCTTGGTTAAGTTAAAAGAACACATGAAAGCATTTCTTTACCGAATATCAAAAGAAAAGAAACACGCGGAGGGGTTTCCAAGTTGTTCTAATTAAAAGATTTGAGTGTTCTCTTAGGAAGTTGGTTTAAACTACGGGTCAACATTTACTATCATTGATAAAGGTGGCACTAACTTCATGATTTTTACCCAAATTAACAGACCACTGACACTATTAAATAAATATAAAGTTTATTTAAATTTATTCGCCTTTTAAAATTTATTGGAAACTTTTATAGACCATAAGTAAAAGCCAGTATCAAAAGCAATAAATGGAAGGCAACAAAAAAGCATGTACTGTTCTTTAGTAAGTATTATTAAACTCAAACTACATACTTTCTCTGGCTGAAGGCCGAGACACACAGCTACTCATGTTTTTTTTAAACCCTCCTCCGAGGATATGTTTTTATTGATTTCAGAAAGAGAGGAAGGAAGAGGGAGAGAGGGGGGTGGAGAGAGAGAGAGAAACACTGATTGGTGGCCTCCCACATACACCCTGACCAGGGATCAAACCCTAACCTGGGTATGTGCCCTGACTGGGAATTGAACCCACAGCCTTTCAGGGTATGGGAAGATGCTCCAACCGAGTCACACTCACCAGAGTACAGCTACTCACACTTTTGTTAAAAATGAATGCAAGTGTTGAAAGTAGTGCTGGAGATATAGTAGCATCGAACTAAGTCATTTTCAGAAAGACTGGAAGAAAACTGCAAAATTAATAAACTCTGTTATGTAATTCAGTGTTATACTGTGTACCATGTAAAAGCATTTCCAATACTAAGTCATGGTCCCAGCCCCACACAGGGGAACACTGAGCTCTTCTACTAAATATAAAGACTGCGCACGGAGCAGCACAGGCACTCGAGTCATCCTAAGCATGCAGCTGATCTTAGAAAGTGCAAGACCCCAGCATTCAGACACCCGATTCCGGCAGCTTTGTCTTCTGAGAATGACAAGAGTACTGACGGGGGAAAGGCAGAGAGAAATGGGTCATTATCTCAAACCTAAAAAACACAAGAAAGGACACTGTCCTCATTTTATCAAAATTGCTATTTGATTAAGCAGATGAGATTGTTGTAGGCATACTGAGAGAGGAATGCTAAGGATTAGGGCAGGTAAAAAGGAGGTTAGACATTTGTTTCCCATTCTTAAAAGAAATCAATGAAAATAATGAATAGCCTTTGAAAGGAAGTAGTCACCATGGAGAATCTGAATTTCAATTAGGAGTGGGAAACAAACTCCACAGTTCAAAAGATATTTGATAAGCTTTTTTCTACCTACAGCCATTCAACCCTTGTTTAAAAATATAAAAAGCTCTATAAACATAAGAACAGCATGTGGCACTTACTGGTAATGAACCCAGGATGGTCCTAGAGTCTTCTTGAATTGAGCGAGTCCCACAATGTCAATATAGATGAGCTCAACGACTCTGTCTCCCACAGTCGGGCAGCCAGATCGGTTTCCTACAGCCTTCTTCATGATCCTAGAGAAAGGGCGAGAGAGGGAAAAGAAAACAATTTACTTCAAGGTACCATACTTAGCCACTTTAGCAGGCAAATGGACATCCAAGAATCCTTATCAGGAGAATGGCACGGCCCAGCCCTTCCCAAGCCACTGCTTATCCAAATTCAGCCCACCTATCAGGGCCCATCCGGAGCCCCGACTTTGACTCTTGCAAAAGCAATGGTGCCACATAAACACAGCCTTTGAAACCCAGGAAGATACAGGTCTGAACTGTCTCTTCTGTCCAACAGCTGGGAGATCTAAGATGAGTTACTTAACCTCAGAATCTTTCCCCATTCTCGCACAAACTCAAAAACCACCACAAGACCAGACTAGAGAGCAACCTCTCGGGGATTCTTTGAGCGGTTAAATGGGGTATTGAATAGGAAGTGCCCAATGTACGCTAGATACTCGGTGACGATTAGTTTCTTACTACTCCAGTCCTTACTGACCTCCTATTTCTGACCTCCACTATTCCTCGCCTCTACAGAATAAACTTCTTTCTATACTGTCTTGTACTGTTTCCTAATTTTTTCTCTTATGTCAAATTGTTCCTTCTGACTAGACTGGCACTATGGTTTATACTTCTGCATTACCCTTTCTCCACCCACCCATTCATACAAACCGACACTTGTACTCAGAGTCCATGTACTTGACTGTCACCAACATCACATGGAGCTAACTGCTAAAAGGTTCTAATGTCCAGGCATGTTTGGGAACCACTGTTCTGTGTTGTTTCCACAATTACCTTCTTAAATAAAGCACATTCGTCCCTATCACTAGTGCTTAAAGACCTCTACAGACTTCCTCTTGACCACGAAACTAAGTCTTTGCCTCAAAGACCCCTAACATGCCTTTCCTGACTGCCCTAGAAAGCACTGTTCCTGGGGCTCCAACAGGATCCCTATGTTTACCCACCCACTCAATCATTCATCCACTTACTCATTTGCTCAGTAAACAGTTATGGGCACCCAGGGTGTACTAAGCTTTTCTAGGTGCTAAATAACAGTGGGAACAACATTCACACCGTTTCTGCACTTCCTGTGCTTACATCCTAGCATCCACACCTCAATCAGTACTAACTGCATTGTAATTAGTGCAATTATTATGTAATGTATTAGTTGTAATTATCAAAAGATTGACATCTCCTTGAACACATGCGGGTCATCTCTGTCTACCCCTTACCCAGCCCACAGAAGGCACTGGAGGAATGAGTGCCAACTGCATGAACGCATCAGCTTCACAGGCTGGGTGCCCAACGTGCTTTAAAGCAAGCAGCAGGGAGGCAACGGGAGGCAGCACACAAATGGGACAGAGTGGTGACTGAGGGTTCAAAAGGCTTTGGGTTTTATCTAGATCTGAAAGGAGCAATGTAGTACAGCAGTCGGGAGCACGGGCTTGGAGTCGGGCAGACACAGGGCTCCAGTCCTGGCTCTTCACGGGACCCTGGACAACTCATCTGTGATCTGAACCTCAGTGTCCTCATCTTTCGAATGCAGAAAGCAACAGCACCTACTTCCAGGTTTGTGCTAAGGACTAAATAAGATGAACACACAAAATGCTTTGTATCTGGTGCACAGTAAGTGCTCCACAAATTTGAGCTGTTAATAGTCATCACTGTTGTCCCAACTGTTGAAACTGCTGTTGTAACTGAAGCCCTTACTCACAGTTTCAGCACATGGAAATTATTTAACAAATGACAGCAGGCATTATCTTACTGATACTGCTCTCATCTCAACATGGGTCAGGTGTGGACCTCGGACCTAACATAAGTGATCTATCTGTCCCATGGCCAATATCTTGAACAGTAAAGCAGGAGCAAGCTGGGACACGTTTGCTGAACACAGAATGCTCACCCAAGGTGTTTCTTCTGGAACATCTGATACATCACAACATGGTAACTTGGCTGTTGAGTGGGAAAATCTCAGCGGGCAGTTATCGGAAAGGAGTCAAGGCGCTCTAAGCACCCCTGCTCAGCCAGCTGTGTCAATCTAAAGGCGATTAAGAGAGGGCTGGAGCTACAAGCAAGTTTCAGTGAAACAGAAAACCCAGGTAGAGTCAACAGACTCAGAGCTGAACGTTGGCTAATTGAAAAAGGATTGGATCAGGGCTTTCAGGAAACTCATTCTATCCAAATTAAATTATAAACAGGAACCTCCCCTGTTTCAAGATTTAGAAAGCTTGATGTCGAGTAGGGAATGGTATGAATTTCAGCAAGAGACAGGGAATTAAGGAAAGTCAATAATGTCTTGTGCTGCAGATGTTGGAAGCACCTGTAACAGCAAAGAATAAGCCCCTTGGTTTGAATTTTCTGGCATTTATTTGTGAAGCCTCTGGAGCCTGCAGCTACAATGAAAACATATTATCCTTTCCCAGCGTATGTATTTAGCTCCCAAAAATAATCTTCTTATCTCCTGTTTAGTGAATTATCACTTTCATTTTCCTCCACAAGAAATTACACAGTAATAGAGGGCTTTAAGAGTTTACAAGTTCTTTTTTGTATTCTGATTTTAAAATTGAAAAGTAATCTCCTTACTCCTTGAGCTCAGCCAGCGAAGCTGAAATCCTAATGTCATGGCCCAGTAAGTACAGCGATGTAATTAAATCACTCCACTGCACTAATTCGCCGAGAGGGCCGCCACTGAACGCTGTCTCTGCAATCTTGAATCCAGACTCCTTCGTCAGGAGGCCCAAGTGGACCAGGACCTGGAAAAACAAAGACGAGGCAAACACTGATTCCACTGAACCAAGGACAGGCTCCACCGTGACACACGCAAAAGCTATCAACCGATGCTAACACCGTGTTTACGTTCCAGTGGAATCTCAATGGGGATAAGCAGTTTTTCTAAGAAGTAAAAAGAAAGGAAGACAATGATTTTTCATTGTTGTTTTAGAGAAACAGCTGCCCTTGGTGCAGCTTTGAGAGTGAGGTAAGGACAGATAACCCTTCTTTTAAAAAGAAGGCTATATTTAAAAAGTCAAAATGAAAGGAGGGTAAGTCAGGACAATAAAATATCTTTTAACAATACTGGGCTTTTTTCCACAGCTGGAATATTTTTAAGCTTTTAACATGGAAAGTGTCAAATACATACTAAAGCAGACATGACAATAAAGTCAATTTTGATGTTCCCATCATGCAACTTTAATAATTATTAACTCATGGCAAATCTTATTTAATGTGTACCCCTCATTTTATCCCAACTCCTCTAGCTTATCTTGGAGCAAACCCTAGACATCATGTTTTCATCTATAAATATTTCCATCTGTATCTGTAAAAGAAATAAATCTTCACTTTAAAAACCATAACATCACTAACACTCCTGGAATCACCATTAATTCCTTAATATTACCCAATTCCCAATTAGTGCTTATACCTCCCTCAGTGTCCCTTATTTTTTCCAGTATAGCTGTTCGAGTCAGAAATTGTATAAAGCGCCTAAACTGTAGTTGCCTCCTGTATCTCTGAGCTGTCTTCAACCTGAAGTAGGGTGCAATGGTCCTTTTATGGGGCAAGGGGCCTGTCATTTACTTGCCAAAGAGACTGGGCTGTATTTCCAGTAGTCTCTCTCACACTCTGGACTTTGCTGATTGTACTGAGGGTAAATTAGTAACTAGACCTACAGACAGGGCCAAATTCATATTCAGTTTTTAGGCAATACTACTTCATAGGTGGTGCGTGTACTTCCTCCCAGTGGTGGGAACAGTTTCTGTTCTGTGATGTTAGTGGCTACTGGTGATCACTCACTAAAAGCATTAATCCATTAGGGGTGGCAGATGGTGATCTCCTCTCATTCCTTGTGCACTTATTAGCTGGAATACTTCTGTGAGAGAAACTATCCCATATCAACTATTTGAGTATCCTGAAATACAATTTACATTAAAAAAAAAAAAGCCTGGTAAATACTTCAGTCTTTCCCTTTACATATTAGTTTTCAAACAAAATTTTTTTTCTTTAGTGTTCTCTAATAATGACCAATGAGAACTTATATATATACACGCACACATACACACACACACCCCCCATTATAAAAATCATGACCGTAAGTATATCTGTTATTTTAATAAATTGCAGTTGTTCTTACTGATTATCAAATTGTTCCATCTTGGCCAATGGGAGGCTATTCAAGTTGGCTTCTGAGTTCTTTTGACAAGTCCTAGCAGTCTTTGATAGTGTCTTTATTTTCTGGTATGATGAGATATTCCAATCTCATCATATACAACTTCTGCCTCAGACCTTACTCAGCCAGTTCTAAGAGCCTCGTATACCATTCAGTAGAAATGGTATTTAAAGACCAAAGTCTGGTGCTAAGTTAGGTGCTCTAGATTATCACTGATCGTAGGCCTTTTCAGTGACCACAGCTAGGAAATTTTTTTCCTTGAGGACAAAACTAATCGTGAGTTCATACTGGTTTTTCTAATTCAGACTCAGGATTATGGTATCTTTACATAACATAACTCATCTGACATCTGTTACTTCCTCTCTCCCACACTGAAAATCCCACTTCTCAAGGACACTAACATAATTACATGCTTTATTCAAATACACACAATGGATTCAGAATGAGAATATCAGCACCACCACCTCCTTCTGATTAGTAAAAATTGTGGAAAGATATTTTGCGGTCTTTTGTCCTTTGTGATATCGCATCACAGATGTTCAACTTAGCATGTTCTAAAGTCAACAAGAGCAGTTCTTCTCTAGGTACTGGGAGTAATACTGGACATGCAATGAGTTTGTTTTATATTCCTTGTGATTTTCAAGTGCTGCTTTTTATTGGTAATTAAATATTTACACTTATGTAAAATGATTCCACTATCAAATTTACAAAGTAAGATACATTCAGAGAAGTCTGGTTTCTATACCTGTTGGCTTCACCCTGTTCCTTCCTTCCCCTTATTTGACCTTTTTATTTTATTGTGGTAATGTATATATAACATAAAATACACAATTTTTAAAGAAATATGAGCAAGAAGTGTGTATGCCTAGTTTATATGTGTTGTATAAGTGTATATATGTGTGCATCTATATGTACACATGAAGGTACAGATACAGATTATAGATAAATTCTCTCTCCCTCTTAAAATAATGTTACTATTCCTCCACCTAACATTTCTTCACCTAACAATATATCCTGGAGGTTACTGTATAGGATTATGCAGAATTTCTCTTTACTTCTTTTTATAGCCCACCTGGATCTCTGACCACATACTTTTCCATAGAGGACTATTTGGTGCCAGGAACTTTGGTCCTTCTGTCGCATAAACTCAAGGGATCTAAGTGGAAGTGACCCATCGAATTTAAAAGTATATCTGTATTTTCTTTTGCAAGGATATCAAATTAGTCAACTTAGGAATAACACCAAACTTGCTTTAAATTTATTTTTAGATATACGAACATGTCGCTTACTTTGCTCAGTGGGCCATCATCGGAACTGTCCATCTAAAGCCAAGGCCACTTAGTCTCTAACTAGTAGGATACAGGATTTCCCATGCTCAGGGGTATTCTAGAGCTTTCCAAGCATCTCCTCACTGACTTGAAGAAAGTGGCTCAAGTTTGATTTCTAGAATCTCTCAAGAATGTAAGCAGAAGCACCAACTAAACAGGGCAGTAATGGAACTCACCAGTTACCCAAATCCCAGAAATGACAAACTCCAAAAATATGAAATTGGCTTAATGATATAAGAAGTTCTCACAGGTTGTATTCAGGTAAAGAAAAGGGGGTTAAGTTTCCTGACACCACTGAGAGACAGTCAGATGGTTCAAAAGAAAACCCAATGGGCAGATATTCTGCTTGGATTCACCCCAAGAAACATGTACCCGACCCTGCTAAGTGGGACGATTGTGACTTGGGAAAGGGAAATCCAGAAATGGCTGCATAGGAAACTGAGCAGATTCACCCAGTGGGAACAGCACTGAGGCACCACATTTCTCTTAGTCTTGGTTCCAAGCAAATAAAATTTTAAAAGAAGACCAGCATCTAACTAAACAGAAGTAATTACAAACTCACTTTCTTCCTCTTTCTCTTTTCAAGATTCTGCTTCTCTGCCAGGGACTTGATCGCTTGGATCCACGCATCAGCCATTCGCCGGATCCGCAGTCTCATCCACCGGAATTCTTCATGCTTTTTCATCATGCTATAAAGAATATTAAAATCCGTGCGAATTTCCGCCTAGAAACAGAAATTTAATAAAAATGAGTAGGAGATGAAAAGTCAGAAGGTATAATCGTTTGCATGAGGTGACATCTGAAAACATGAAAGGGACTCTCAATTAAATCTAGGGCTCAAAACGGAGTCTTGTCGGCCGCACAGTTTTTCTTTAAGGTCCTCGGACTGCAAACTGAGCAAAGGCCCCCGACTGCTGATCTGCCATAAGGGACATCATTTAAAAAATTAGAAACTGGGAAAGTACAGTCGCTGTGAAGCCCTGAGCTAGGTTAAAATGCATTTTTTATAATGAGTATGTTTGATGTACCTTGAAACTCTGCACCTAAATTCATTGGCCATTTCAACCTACTGCAGGGCAGCAGAGTTCTGGGAAAACTGAAGTCAGTTCTTAATAGGCTACCTGGTATTGTGGAGGCTGCCAAAAGGCCTCCTTCCATCCACAAAATTAAGTAGGGAAATACATGCTCCTTTTCCAGTTTTTTCCCAGTCCAAGCAAACAAAAGTTCATTCTTTTCTAAAGAATTAAAAGCCAGAAAAAACATTTTCCTATCACAACTGAATAAAATTTAAAATTCAGGCCAAAATTATGTAAAAGCCAGGAAGAGCATATTTGTCCTAAAGCTGGGTATAACCAGTGATTAAAATAACAGGAAAAATAATAACACTAGTATTGGTTTTATGTAACATCCAGAACATGCTAAATCCAACTTTCATAGTTCATTCTAAATACTCATTTGATCATGCCCCACCCCCTGACTCAACAACTTCCCCAGATTCCCATGATTAAACTATGGGTCTTGGGCCAAATCACCCTTGATGCCTATTTTTATGCATGAACTTTTACTGGAACACAGCCATGTCCATTCATTTACGTCTTATCTATGGCTGTCCTCTGTGCTACAAAGTCAGAACTGGGTAGTTGTGACAGAGATCTTATGGCCTACAAAGATGAGATTAGTATCTGACCTTTTACAGAAAAAGTTTGCAGATCCTCAGTCCAAAGACTAAAGTTTTTAAAATATACATATATATCTTTACTGATTTCAGAAAGAGGAAGGGAGAGAAACATCCATGAATCACTGATTGGCTGCCTCCTGAACACCCCCCACTGGGGATCGAGCCCGTGCACCCTGAGTGGGAATCGAACCTTGATCTCCTGGATCATAGGTCAATGCCCAACCACTGAGCCATGCAGGCCGGGCAAGACTTAAGCTTTTAATGTGGGCTATAAAACCTTTCAGTTCCCCCAGCTACCTTTCCAATTTCACCTTCATCCAATATCCACTGAACTATGTCCCACTCCCCGAAAACGCCAAGCTCTTATACCTGCACCTTCTCCCCTCACATCACACACCTTTATCTCCCTGACCCCGTACAAACTCACTCGTCATTTTAAATTCAGCTCCAGTGTCATCTCTTAGCAGTATCTCTTCACCCCTGCAGGCTGAGACCACCACTTCCTCACTAATTCCATGGTCTGTGTGCTAGCATTTACAAGGTGCGGTCATTATTTACAACCATCACCCTCATTAGGTCACTGAGCGCCTCCCCATCTGGCACAAGGTCTTATTGCAGGGGCCTGTCACTGAGGAGCCCTCGGAGAAATTGCTCAAAAAATATATGCTAGCGGGTTGACTGCTTTGGTCCTTGAGATTTCCATAGGGCTGGGTATAGAAGTTCTTCAGTTTACTGCTCTTTCAGATCACAGTTGGCATTTCCAGAAGACTCCACATGGATCACTTGGCATCACACTCAAATCACAAGCCCAATAAGAGGTTTCCAAAATCACTTACTAATGAATTATGGTCAGCTTCTTCGTAGGGATTTTTTGCTCTCCAAGGTAAATGAGGACACCAATTTTCAACCTGAAAAATATAAATCAGAGACACTAAGTGTGCTGGCTCATCTGGAAATGAATTAATGTGTATATGAAGCACTGAGCGCAATTCCTGATACACCAGGCACACTGTATTTAAGAGAGTTATTATTATTAGTCAGAGTCCATGCTTTTAGCTAGCAATCCAGAGACAGGTACCTTCCCAGGTGAAACAGTAATCAGCAAAGGTCCCAAAGAGCGTATGATTTGATTACAGGTTGCATCTGTCCTTCGCAGTCCTTTACAGGGACTGGTTCCTTAATCATCTAATCCCCACATTTCTATACCAGGAGAGGCGGGTCTTGTGGCAGAAAGCTGAAAGGCCTGAACATCGCCTCGGGGGAATGAGAATGAGAAGGTGCCCCTGACCATTTAGCAAAAGGACAGGAGTGATTCGTTATCGGTGGTGGCACGTCTGGAAAGGAAATTGTGTGGCATTTGAGCCCCAGAACTCAGTCATTTATCTCAGAATTAGGAATGCAGCTGACGGTTTCAGGCTAATTGATCGAATCGAAGCTTTCCCTCGTTTTCTGGCTGTTCACTTCACAATATCATAAGGAACACGATGGTAAAAACTACTGGAGAAACAGATCAAAGGAAAAAGGGAAAAAAGCCCTCAGCGATTTCGTGAGAGCCATTCCGGAAGACGCATCGTTCCCTCGACGCACAGGAGTTCAGAGAGCTGGGGGAGGAAGAGAGGGAAAGAAAAGCACCAGGTTTCACAGGAATCACTTCAACAAAGGTTACCACAGAATGTTAGGCGAATTCACAATCTCTGATAAAGAAAAAATAAAAAATGCATTGAGGAACGTTGATGTCTGACCTCATTTCAAAACTGGCCATACAATTCCAAGACAGCATATCACCCATTTACTAATATACAATGAAATTATTAAAGATGGCTAATAAATAGTCATTGAAAATAATTTTTTTCTATGGCCAGGTGGACCTACAGAAATGAACAAAGCCAGAGGGTGGGGAATGTCCTTGGAAGGTCACTACAAAAGCAGGGACATGTGTGAGACCACAGCCTCCTGGGTCAGTCATGCAGCACCAAATGAGATGGTTTGTCTTCCAGTTGTGGGTGAGTCCTTAAAAGGACGGTAGTTTCACTAACCTAGAAACTGAGCCTAAAGCCAGGTGGTTTTTACTAAAAACCAAAATAACTGGGTGGTTTGCACACAGCCAGCTGCCTGCAAATGATCTGAAAGCAGTAAGCAGAGGGCAGCAAAGCCTGGGGGAAGGTGGAATCCCCAGATAGGAAAAGTGCAATATTCTCTTGTCCTTCTTGTGGATAAAATTAGACTTTACCGTATTTGTGAATGGCTCCAGGGGCTCAGAAGGACGCCCTATGAAGCCAGCTGCAACAGTTTTTACTCATAAAAACAGAAGACACTAACTTGCTTTGGATGCCCATGTTTAATCACCGAGACCTCATAGCATCATTAGCACGAATGGCATTATCTAGAGCTCCACAAATGAGAAAAATGAGGGAAAACCAGCAGAAAAGAAGCAAGCCAGAGGATGAAGCCCCAGCGAGTCCCAGCAGCACTGCACGGCTCTGTACCTTGCACTGCTAAGCCGGATGGAATTACTGAGTTCAGGTTAAATTTCTGTAAATGGACTCAATAAAACGTGGCTACAAAGCATATTTATAACATGAAGGCTTCGGATGGATTACAGAGCTGACGGAGAGGCCTTCAACCCCACACCAATGGGCAAGCAGGGCACACGTTTGTAGTCACCCTCAAGCTAAACAAACAGCTAAATGCACACAGCAACACGTCAGCATAAAACATTTCCTAGTTAATAGCAAGGCAGGGAAAGATGAAACAAGACTGTGAAGAAAGAAACTCAACCAAAAGGAGAGACATTAGTGAGATCAGATACTGTTGAAGGGAAGTACATTCCCTCCCCAGTCTTCTGCCCTAAGAAGCGTCTTCCAAACTCACTCTGATAAAAACACAGTCCAAGGTGATCTTCTGAAATATGACTTCCCTGCAGAACACTCAAGGCTTTAATCCCTCCTTGAAACTGGTCATTTATCTCAGTTCTTGTTGCTCTAAATGACTGGATAACGCTTTGAACAGCTTCAAGGGCACCCCTGAATGTACGGAAAATGGAGCCAGTCTATTTCGGCTTTTAGAGAGAAGTCTTACTGCCACACGTTCCCTCACAGTGCAGGAAAAACTGACTCTGACCACCTTGCTACAGAATGAGGAAGGTGAGCTTGTGAGGTGGTTTTTGCACAGTGGTAGGATAGCTGGTTAAGAAGATAATTAAATTGTACATAAACCAATTTCTCCATGGGGATGGGGAAAAACCATTTCTTTCTAAACCTCGGAGGATTGTCAGGATGGGAACGCCAGCACTGGCCATAGCTCCACGCCATCAAACAGTCTCCAGTGAGCAGCCCCCTCCTAAGCGAGTCATTAGGAAAGTCTTGCTCAAGGCTAATAACTCCTAATCCCTCCTTCCTGTCTGATCAACTCAGGCTCCTTTAACAAATTTTACCCCCAGCGTAGCCTCCTACCAGGAAAGCTGGGCCCCACAACGAGCCCGCTGCCCTCCTGATCTGGACGCTCTCCTATTTCAAATCACTCATCATATCCTCTCCTCCCGGGTCTCAGGGCCCCAGTGTCCTGGGACAGCCTACAGTCGCTGCCTTCCCTCACCCACTGCCTTGGCCACACTGTCCAACTGCGACCCCCGGTGCTCCCCCGGGACAGGATTGTGTATTTGCCCTCCCACTGCCCACCCCACCCCTGCCTGACTCCTGTGAGCTGGCAGCCCTGCCCCAAGCCCTCTGACAGGGTAGGGACTGCATATCCTTAAAAGTCCGCAAATCACCACAGTAAGTCCAAGACTTGAAAACCACCCGAGTTCATGGCCACACACACGAGAATCAATAGAGCTGAACCATGACTCTAGTAACCTTGGATTTGAAGACAAAGCTTCTTCCATGGAAATGAATCTTTTTCATGCACTGGCCTTGGCAACAAATGACGGGGCAGCAAACACAGAAAAAGCCCAGCCAGGCTGGACCTCTGGGACATGAATGTGCATTCCACAGAGAGGGCCCGTAAATCACTTTCTTGGAAGATATAAAATTAACCAATTTGATTTTTGACATCCCTCTTCCCAATGATTTAAACTTCTCTGATCTGAGAAGGTTTTGTAGCTTAATCATGAGCAATGTGAATCGAAGTCCCTCAATAGAACTCAGGTGGGTCACACGTTCAAGGTCTTTACAATGGACAGGTCATTACGCTAAAGGAAAAAATGGCTGGTAGATTCACAGACAGTGCAAATCGGACCTTAGAGGAGGAAAGATGTAATGAAATGACAGCAAAACCTAGAGGGGATTTAACGTATATGCATGTACTTAGGCGTGACTGGCATAACTCTTTGTAGCAACGTTCAATTCTTCTGAAAGCACAGTGATCAGGCTCTGTTATGGCTTCGTGTCACGTGATTAATGTTAAGTGTTTTTGCTCTAATGGATCACTGACACAGCGTTTCACGCTGTATTTTTCAGATAGTGAAGTGCAATCAAAACTAAGTGACAAAAATGCATGGGAAAAAGTCTGAGATTATCTCTGGATGACGATGTTATGGGGGCTTTTCATTTCCTTCTTTATGCTAATCTGCATATTATGAATTTTTACAATGACGATTTCTTAATAGAATAATTTCTAAAGGAGAGATGTTTTATAAGCATCCAATCATTTAGGGAAGTTCACAGTATGCCAGGGGCTCCGGAAAAAAACAAACCTGCATACATTCCATCGTTTAATCCCTGAGGTGCCATAGCCAGGCTACATGTGAGGGAATCACGCTTACAGGGCTGTGAACCTGCTAGGTGAGCTCACTAGTGCGCAGAAGGGCTGGGTGACAAGTGGCCTCTGTTGCTCCCCTGACCAGCACACGTGAGAGCCACCTTAAAGCCTGAGCTTAGCGACGGAGAGTGGAAAAGGGGACGGAATCTGGAATCCGCCAAGCGGGTTCTATACCCAACTCCACGGACAACTAGGAGAATAACCTTAAACCTCTGGATTTCAAGTTTCCTCACTTACAAAATGAAGGAATCGTCTCAGGTGACCTCTTAATAATTCTATTACTCCACAGGACCTGAAAAAGGTAACTTACATCATCCTGTCAGGCTAGCTGGTTATATATCAAAAGTACAGTTGACTGGACATCTGATAACTTATTATACATCTATATGCATACATGTACACATATACGTACACATGTCTGTTATATTGATAACGTACTAAATGAAGTTACTTATTAAGGCATGTGCTTAAAAAACAAAGGAGACCTCTTTACCCCACTCCACTCCGACTCAACTTTCCTTCCTAAAGTTTCAAAAGGCAACGCAAATGTTATGAGATAACCAGACATGGTCCAGCTCTCTAGACCCGTCCTGTGCACCAGACAACTGAGCCGATTAATAATATTTTGGCCAAACTGCTTGTTAGAAATAGAGGTGTGGTGGGGAGACAAAGATAAGAACAAAGGCACACTATACGGAGCCAAGCACTAGGCTACACACATTATGTCACTGGGTCTTCCACTAATCCTCTAGGAAAGGTGGCTAATCATGCCAGACGAAGCCACTGGCCCTGGGAGGACCCACAGCTGAGCACTGGAGCCTGTCTCCCCAGAGCCCATGGGCTTCATCACCATGCAATGCACAGAAATCGGACATCTGGTTCCTAGAGTCCCAAAAGCACAGTCCAGTCTTCACTATGAGAGTGTCACTGCCTAAACCTTTACAGAAAATCCTTCAAAAACGGGTTTTCTGTGCTTCCGCTTGCAGGGTGGCACTGTAAGACATCTGTGCGGCAAGGGGTTGTTTTACAGTCTGAACTGGATCATATCCTACACTAACTCAAACCCTTCAACAGCTTCTCCTTCACCCAAAATAAAACCCAGAACTTATACTGAGATCCTACAGAGTCTGACCTCCACCCTCGCAGTGCC